AAGGTCTCGAAGTCGCAAATAGAGTTTACTCGTAAGCGACCCTCTGCTGAAACTACGGATGGTGAGGTTTCAGGTGAGGTTGAGTCATCGTGTCGTAGCGCTCGTGGTTCAGTTTGTGAGAGAAATCCAGGCGATGCTGGTGCTGCGACCGCGGAAGACTCGCCGTTCGCTCTTGACGAACAGGTAGAACCTGCAGGGGAACCAGGCGGTTCTTCAGAACGAATAGGCTTCTGTGTGGATGAAGATGTGATCCGACCTTCAGAACAAGCGCAAGCATCCACGTCCGTTTTGGAGGGTCGTCGCGTTGTCGACATCGGTCATTTGTTTCGGTCGGTACAAGGAGCTTGCGACCATGCCCCATTCTCTTGCTCGTTCGCAGACATGGCTGTTCGTGTCCGAACAGAGACGCGGGCTGCACAGTTCCTTCACGTTTGTTTGCAAGATGTGCAACAAAAAGGCTGTGATTGAGTCTGAGGTACTTCCTCACACAGCGGAAGCAAAGTCTCGCATGGACGTGAACACTGCCGCGGTCTCGGGAATAATTTCCGTTGGTTGCGGGGTATCGAACTTGGCAGAGCTTTTAGCTTCAATGAATGTGCCGGCGATGTCCAGGAAGACCTTTGCGAACTGCGAGAAGAAATTGACTCAGGGTGTTGAAGATGCCGCTTGGCAAGCCATGCAACAGGCCGGAGTTGAAGAAGCGAGGCGCGCGAGGGAATCTGGCGAGATCGATGCCGAAGGCTGTCCGCTTGTGACCGTCGTTGCGGACGGTGCATGGTCAAAGCGATCTTACAAGAACAAATACGACGCTTCTTCTGGCATGGTAAGTACTACATTTCTTCCTCTCAGAGGGATGCAAATTTTGATCATAGATATAATATGCATTTCTTTAGAGTGCGTTCGAAAGAAATCCGAAGCATGTTTTTCTCGCCGCGAAAATACATTATATATTGTCGAACGCTCAGTCTCTGTCGCTAGGCGGCATTTGGGCGGAGGCTGAGCATTTGACAATGCGTAGTTTATTTTTATGAGGAGATGACCGTGGTTAGAATGCCGCTTTATTGTATCTGTGTTTCTGTGAATGCAAGATTTGTTTCGGCAACTGGGGTCCGACGATTTCTCACGAAGCATTGAAAACAGTTATGCTTCTTGTGTGCCTGTTTTAGTGACCTCTGTTTTATGTAGTACATTCCGAATATACGCGGTGCCATGCAATCAGTTCGTCGAATGACGTTTCATAGACAGCTCGTTTCTTCGAAGATGCACTTTTGCATCGATAAATCCTTCCGTCGGAAATAGCCGGCGTTCGTTTCATCGATACACCTTATGACGTTTCGTCGAATTTTTCTATTATGTGCATGCATGTTCGTGCTCGCGCCTGCGTACGTAAGTGCGCGTCCGTGTCTGCGTGTGCGCGTGCACGCGCGAGATTTTTTGTGCGTGCTTGTACATGCGTGTTTGCCTGCCTACGCGTGAATTAAAAGTTAATTAAAATGCGCGCGTCGCGCTTGTCTGTGTTCACATTATTATACGTGCATGTGCGTGGGTTTTTACACGCGTGGGCGTGTGCCTTCATATGTGCGAATGCGTGCGTGTGCACGGGCTTGTCCGTGCGTACGTGAATGCGCATCCGTGCTTGCGCGTGCGTGCGCGTATATCCGCGTACCTGTGTTCGCGCATGCGTATGCGGGCCTACTTCGTGCGTGTGGGCTGGCGCGTGCGTGCTTGAGTGGGCGCGTATGTACTTGGGCTTACGTTCGCACGCATGGTCGTGCGTGTTTGCGTGCGCATAATTAAATGTGCGTGTTGCGCCTGCACGCGCGGGCGTGTACATGCCTGTGCCCATGTGTGTGTACGTGCGTGGCCTTGCGTACGCGTGCCTGCATGTGCGTGCATGTCGCTGCCTGCATGCGTGTCCATGTGCGCGCATGAAAGTGCGCGTTTTCGCGTGCTTGCGTGCCTGCGCAATATCGCACGCAGCGCAGGCGCAGCGTGTGATATTTCGCGGAGGAGAGCTACTACGCATGCTTAGAAGGCGTCCCATAGCCTAGTAAGGAGAGATGACAGCTCGTAGAAGGCGTTTATTGCAAAGTTCTATCGACCTTTCCAAAAACGCCTTATATATTATTTATTCTAATTGTTTGTAACGCTGCCTGAATGAGAAAGAATCGTGCTATAGGGTAAATATATTTTTAGTTGCACCAAACGTATTTCATTAAAATAAAAAAAAAAAAGAAGAGTAGCTTTAGGACCAGGCACGTAGCCCGGGGGGGGGGGGGGGGGGGGGGGGGCAATCTTTCATTTTGCTGAGGCCCCCTTCTCTCCCCTCCCTCCTTCTCATACAGCATTTTGTCATGGGCTCTCTCCCCCCCCCCCCCCCCCCCCCCCCCCCGAAACAAAATCCTGGCTACGTGTAGTATGCTTTTAATTTTGTCATTACCTTACCCGACTTGGGTGTCAGCATAGTAAGTTACAGGTCAAGAAGGTAGCGGCAAATACCACCTCCGCATCCAATCACGTCTCATTGTTTCCGAGACGTCGTGAGAGAGGGTTTTGCCTTCCTGTGAATATTTGCTTTATCTTTCGACTTCGACTTAGCATTGTGAAAGCCACAAGAGGTAGATTAGAAGTCCCACCCCCCGATGGGATCAAAAACGACTTTGGGGGGTTAGGTTCCCCTCCGATGGATACAAATGTCCCTTTGAGGGGTTCGGTTCCCTCTCCGAGAAATACAAAGGTCACAAGTTGGCATTAGGGTGCCTTCGTGTGCGCTTCGCATAGAGTGATGCCAACTGCCTGTTTCTCTTTCCCACACCCTCTTCCACCGCCATTTTGTTCCTCTCATTGTTTCCCCGTGCGCCAGAAAGTGGCCTTTGTGTCCATCGGTCCTCCCATCCGAGGGGCAAAATGCTAATCCTCCCTCCGTGGGTTCCACAACGCTGCTCCGAACTTGTGAGATAAGGTGCTCGTTTCCGGGAGGGTTATAAGCCCCACGGATTATCGTCGAGAACCAAAATGGCTGCTGGTTTGTCGGCGAGTGGTATTACAAAGGGTGGTATCACCCTAGCAAAGCGCACATGACGGCTCCCTAGTTGACATCACTCTGTAGCCAATATCTATTCATTGAAGCGGAACAAGGGGCGTGTCCAGTGAACTATTCTTTCAACTGCGGATGGATTTGAAACGGGCGCATCACGCTTATGGGAGGAGCTTCTCCTACCTTCTTGACTTGTAACCGACTGTCGGAACAAGGTTTTTGTGCAGTCAGGCGGCTATTTAACAAGGACTTAGAATTGTTTTAATTTATTAGCATTTTAATTAACTTTGTAATTATTGATTTTAGAGGGCATATTGCAGATATGGAATTGAAGCCCAACCTCCGTATGCTCCAACTGCACGCTGAAATAAGCTCACAAAAAATCTCTGCGGGTGCTACCGGGCAAACTATTACACCACTGCAAACCGTAACTCTATGGGAAAGGTATGACAGCGTCATCGAATAATTTGTCCGGTAGCACCTGCAGCGATTTTTTCTGTGTTAATTTCAGCATGCGGTTGGAGCATACGGAGGTTGAGCTTCAATTTCGTAACTTCAATATGCCCTCTAAAGTCAATAATTAAAAGTTAATTAAAATGTTAAGTAAATATCTCCGTTAATTAGCCGCATAATTCTACGAACAACCTTGTTCTTAGTTACCCCCAAGTCATTTCTTTTAAAGAGTCCCTAATGCCACTTTTCTTTCTTTATTTATCATGTTATACATTTGGTGCAACTAGAAAAAACACCCGGTTTTACAACTTAATAAATAAAGCATGACGATTCTAGAGACCAGGAAAGATAACTATCTTACTTAGCTAAACAGTGTTTTAACAATGCTCGAAGTGTCTTGTAGCACTGTGCGATTAGCCTACATGATCCGACCGCGCGGCAATCACTTATTACAATTATTCACCTTTCTTTTTTTTTTTTTTTGATGCAGGCAGCTATTGTTGGCCACAGTACCCAGAAAGTCCTGTTCCTTGGCGTCAGGAACAAGTTTTGCATAATGTGCGCAAGAACGAAGCCCGGAGAAACGCCGCCAGACCACAGGTGCTTCAAGAACTCGCAGGGGAGCTCAACGGGCATGGAGAAGGACATAATTGTTGAAGGTTTCCGTCAAAGCGTCGTGATGCATGGCGTCAAATACACTCGTCTCATTGCAGATGGTGATTCCAGCACATATAGGGCAATCTTGGAAGCGGCTCCATACGGAAACCAGGTGGTCCAAAAGATTGAATGCAGGAATCACATCCTCCGTAACTACAGTGGACACCTTAGAGAGGTAGCTCAGAGAAAGAGGTCGACACCAGTCCCGGCAGCATTGAGGAACCTCGTCCTGCAGAGTTCAGTTCGTCTGAGGTTTGGTGTAGCCACGGCCATCAAAGCGAGAGCAGCAGGTGAGGATCGTCCTTTGCGTGCAAAAACCGAGGACTTGGCAAGGGACATTCGAAATGGGCCAAGTCACGTGTTTGGGCAGCACGACAATTGTGCCCCATACTTTTGCAAGGGCCCAAAGCCAGGAGAAGTGAATCATGTGCCTGAACTGAAGCGATGTGGCTTGTACGATGAGGTCGCGATTGCAGCAAATCGTGTTGCCAACAATGCCAGCAGCCTGATCCTGGACGTTGACAACAACTCAGCAGAGCATGTGAACTCTCTGGTGGCGAAGTTTGTTGGCGGCAAGCGTATTAACTACTCGCAAAGGGGGTCGTACCGACTGCGTTGCCTTGGAGCCTCTGTCGCTTTCAATTCGCCAGGAGGGTATCACCGAGCAGTTCACAAATCTGTGTGCAAGAAGAGTCCCGGAAAATACACGAAGGTGTATCAGATGGCGCTGGCATCGCGTCGGGCTGCGAGAAAGAAGCGAAAGCTGTTGCAGCAGCCTCGTGCAAGACGTTGCCTGATCATGGCATCTTCCTCTAGGCGTTGTGGGCCTGACGCAGATTATGGCCCTCAGGCACAGCAACCAGACATGGAACCAGAGACGTTCCAGCACACTTGTCAGGTATTTCTGGAGTCTCTTCGTCTGTCGGATGAGGGTAGATCGGAGCTCGAACGGGCCACTCAGGGACAGGCCGCATGCCCGAGATGGAAAGAGGAGCGGAAAAAGCGACTGACTGCTTCCTCCTTCGGCAAGGTTTGTAAGATGAAGCCAACAACAAGCTGCGCAAAGACGGTGGTAGGGCTTCTCTACAAGGAATTCAGTTCACCAGCAACACAGTATGGCAACGATCAAGAGCCTCTGGCTCTAAGAAGGCTCGAGGCTGACATGGGAGTTTCTGTAGAAAAGTGTGGGCTTTTCGTTGATCGGGAGCACCCGTACCTTGGAGCAAGCCCTGATGGGCTGGTGAATGACGACGGCCTGGTTGAGGTTAAGTCTTCTTACACAGCCCGTGGCCTCACTGTGTTGGAGGGAGTCAAGCAGAAGAAGATCAAGTGTGTCACGGAAACAGATGGACGTTTCAGTCTCATCAGGACGCACAACTTCTGGTACCAAGTTCAAGGACAACTGCACATCACAGGGCGTCAGTTTTGCCTCTTCGTTATATGGACGGGAAGCGACATCTCCATCGAGAAAATCGCTCGAGACGATCAGTTCTGGGAAACTCAGATGCTCCCACAGCTCCAGAAGTTTTACCGCTACTGTCTGCTTCCAGAAATCGTTGATCCCCGACAAAGTCGAAGCATGCCCATCAGGGACCCTGACTACATCCTTGAGGCAATTAGGGAGAAAGCCCAGAAGGCACCGAAGACGAAGAAAGCGAAAAAATGAGAAAGCATTAAGCCTGCAGCAACAGCAAGCGCGTGAAAATCTTTTCCGGTGTGCTCTTACATTGTATAGTTGTTTCTTACGTTCTCACTAATACCAGCGCGCTCACCTCAAAATGCAACGCAAGTGTTTTGTCGATGTTTCATGATACTAACCAAGCTGACGTTCTGTTTGCCGTTCCTCCCGTGCTTTTCGTTCAATTTTTGCGCGGCGTAGGAACGACATGGTGTTAGATATGTGCGTTCTCTCTGTTCATTAGCTTTTTCGTGATACCGCCGATTACCTCTCCAGTTTCATTTTACTGTCCAAGTCGACGTTTTGTTTGCCGTTCCTCCCGCGCCTTCCGTTCAATTTTTGCGCGGCATGGGAACGACATGGTGTAGCATATGTGTGCTATCTCCGTCCATTAGCTTAGTTGTTTCATGATACCGCCCATTACCCCTCCACTTTCATTTTACTGTCCAAGTCGACGTTTTGTTTGCCGTTCCTCCGTGCCTTTCGTTCAATTTTTGCGCGGCATGGGAACGACATGATTTAGCATATGTGTGTTGTCTCCGTCCATTAGCTTAGTGGTTTCATGATACCGCTCATTAGCTATCCAGATTCATGTTACTGTCCAAGCTGAAGTTTTGTATGCCGTTCCTCCGTGCCTTTCGTTCAATTTTTGCGCGGCATGGGAACGACATGATTTAGCATATGTCTGTTGTCTCCGTCCATTAGCTTAGTTGTTTCATGATACCGCCCATTAGCTATCCAGATTCATGTTACTGTCCAAGCTGAAGTTTTGTATGCCGTTCCTCCGTGCCTTTCGTTCAATTTTTGCGCGGTATGGGAACGACATGGTGTTGCATATGTGTGTTCTCTTCATCCATTAGCTTCGTACTTTCATGATACCGTCCAAGCTTCCGTCTCCTTCTGGATAACTCTTGACACGGTATGGGAACGACACGGTGCTTGCATATGTGTGTTCTCTTCATCCATTAGCTTCGTACTTTCACGATACCGTCCAAGCTTCCGTCTCCTCCCGGATAACTCTTGACACGGTATGGGAACGACACAGTGCTTGCAAATGTGTGTTCTCTTCATCCATTAGCTTCGTACTTCCACGATACCGTCCAAGCTTCCGTCTCCTCCTGGATAACTCTTGGCACGGTATGGGAACGACACGGTGCTTGCATATGTGTGTTCTCTTCATCCATTAGCTTCGTACTTCCACGATACCGTCCAAGCTTCCGTCTCCTTCTGGATAACTCTTGACACGGTATGGGAACGACACAGTGCTTGCATATGTGTGTTCTCTTCATCCATTAGCTTCGTACTTCCACGATACCGTCCAAGCTTCCGTCTCCTCCTGGATAACTCTTGACACGGTATGGGAACGACACGGTGCTTGCATATGTGTGTTCTCTTCATCCATTAGCTTCGTACTTCCACGATACCGTCCAAGCTTCCGTCTCCTCCTGGATAACTCTTGACACGGTATGGGAACGACACGGTGCTTGCATATGTGTGTTCTCTTCATCCATTAGCTTCGTACTTCCACGATACCGTCCAAGCTTCCGTCTCCTCCTGGATAACTCTTGACACGGTATGGGAACGACACGGTGCTTGCATATGTGTGTTCTCTTCATCCATTAGCTTCGTACTTCCACGATACCGTCCAAGCTTCCGTCTCCTCCTGGATAACTCTTGACACGGTATGGGAACGACACGGTGCTTGCATATGTGTGTTCTCTTCATCCATTAGCTTCGTACTTCCACGATACCGTCCAAGCTTCCGTCTCCTTCTGGATAACTCTTGACACGGTATGGGAACGACACGGTGCTTGCATATGTGTGTTCTCTTCATCCATTAGCTTCGTACTTCCACGATACCGTCCAAGCTTCCGTCTCCTCCTGGATAACTCTTGACACGGTATGGGAACGACACGGTGCTTGCATATGTGTGTTCTCTTCATCCATTAGCTTCGTACTTCCACGATACCGTCCAAGCTTCCGTCTCCTCCTGGATAACTCTTGACACGGTATGGGAACGACACGGTGCTTGCATATGTGTGTTCTCTTCATCCATTAGCTTCGTACTTCCACGATACCGTCCAAGCTTCCGTCTCCTCCTGGATAACTCTTGACACGGTATGGGAACGACACGGTGCTTGCATATGTGTGTTCTCTTCATCCATTAGCTTCGTACTTCCACGATACCGTCCAAGCTTCCGTCTCCTCCTGGATAACTCTTGACACGGTATGGGAACGACACGGTGCTTGCATATGTGTGTTCTCTTCGTCCATTAGCTTCGTACTTCCACGATACCGTCCAAGCTTCCGTCTCCTCCTGGATAACTCTTGACACGGTATGGGAACGACACGGTGCTTGCATATGTGTGTTCTCTTCATCCATTAGCTTCGTACTTCCACGATACCGTCCAAGCTTCCGTCTCCTTCTGGATAACTCTTGACACGGTATGGGAACGACACAGTGCTTGCATATGTGTGTTCTCTTCATCCATTAGCTTCGTACTTCCACGATACCGTCCAAGCTTCCGTCTCCTCCTGGATAACTCTTGACACGGTATGGGAACGACACGGTGCTTGCATATGTGTGTTCTCTTCATCCATTAGCTTCGTACTTCCACGATACCGTCCAAGCTTCCGTCTCCTCCTGGATAACTCTTGACACGGTATGGGAACGACACGGTGCTTGCATATGTGTGTTCTCTTCGTCCATTAGCTTCGTACTTCCACGATACCGTCCAAGCTTCCGTCTCCTCCTGGATAACTCTTGACACGGTATGGGAACGACACGGTGCTTGCATATGTGTGTTCTCTTCATCCATTAGCTTCGTACTTCCACGATACCGTCCAAGCTTCCGTCTCCTTCTGGATAACTCTTGACACGGTATGGGAACGACACAGTGCTTGCATATGTGTGTTCTCTTCATCCATTAGCTTCGTACTTCCACGATACCGTCCAAGCTTCCGTCTCCTCCTGGATAACTCTTGACACGGTATGGGAACGACACGGTGCTTGCATATGTGTGTTCTCTTCATCCATTAGCTTCGTACTTCCACGATACCGTCCAAGCTTCCGTCTCCTCCTGGATAACTCTTGACACGGTATGGGAACGACACAGTGCTTGCATATGTGTGTTCTCTTCATCCATTAGCTTCGTACTTCCACGATACCGTCCAAGCTTCCGTCTCCTCCTGGATAACTCTTGACACGGTATGGGAACGACACAGTGCTTGCATATGTGTGTTCTCTTCATCCATTAGCTTCGTACTTCCACGATACCGTCCAAGCTTCCGTCTCCTCCTGGATAACTCTTGACACGGTATGGGAACGACACGGTGCTTGCATATGTGTGTTCTCTTCATCCATTAGCTTCGTACTTCCACGATACCGTCCAAGCTTCCGTCTCCTTCTGGATAACTCTTGACACGGTATGGGAACGACACAGTGCTTGCATATGTGTGTTCTCTTCATCCATTAGCTTCGTACTTCCACGATACCGTCCAAGCTTCCGTCTCCTCCTGGATAACTCTTGACACGGTATGGGAACGACACGGTGCTTGCATATGTGTGTTCTCTTCATCCATTAGCTTCGTACTTCCACGATACCGTCCAAGCTTCCGTCTCCTCCTGGATAACTCTTGACACGGTATGGGAACGACACAGTGCTTGCATATGTGTGTTCTCTTCATCCATTAGCTTCGTACTTCCACGATACCGTCCAAGCTTCCGTCTCCTCCTGGATAACTCTTGACACGGTATGGGAACGACACAGTGCTTGCATATGTGTGTTCTCTTCATCCATTAGCTTCGTACTTCCACGATACCGTCCAAGCTTCCGTCTCCTCCTGGATAACTCTTGACACGGTATGGGAACGACACGGTGCTTGCATATGTGTGTTCTCTTCATCCATTAGCTTCGTACTTCCACGATACCGTCCAAGCTTCCGTCTCCTCCTGGATAACTCTTGACACGGTATGGGAACGACACGGTGCTTGCATATGTGTGTTCTCTTCATCCATTAGCTTCGTACTTCCACGATACCGTCCAAGCTTCCGTCTCCTCCTGGATAACTCTTGACACGGTATGGGAACGACACAGTGCTTGCATATGTGTGTTCTCTTCATCCATTAGCTTCGTACTTCCACGATACCGTCCAAGCTTCCGTCTCCTCCTGGATAACTCTTGACACGGTATGGGAACGACACAGTGCTTGCATATGTGTGTTCTCTTCATCCATTAGCTTCGTACTTCCACGATACCGTCCAAGCTTCCGTCTCCTCCTGGATAACTCTTGACACGGTATGGGAACGACACGGTGCTTGCATATGTGTGTTCTCTTCATCCATTAGCTTCGTACTTCCACGATACCGTCCAAGCTTCCGTCTCCTCCTGGATAACTCTTGACACGGTATGGGAACGACACGGTGCTTGCATATATGTGTTCTCTTCATCCATTAGCTTCGTAGTTTCACGATACCGTCCAAGCTTCCGTCTCCTTCTGGATAACTCTTGACACGGTATGGGAACGACACAGTGCTTGCATATGTGTGTTCTCTTCATCCATTAGCTTCGTACTTCCACGATACCGTCCAAGCTTCCGTCTCCTCCTGGATAACTCTTGACACGGTATGGGAACGACACAGTGCTTGCATATGTGTGTTCTCTTCATCCATTAGCTTCGTACTTCCACGATACCGTCCAAGCTTCCGTCTCCTTCTGGATAACTCTTGACACGGTATGGGAACGACACAGTGCTTGCATATGTGTGTTCTCTTCATCCATTAGCTTCGTACTTCCACGATACCGTCCAAGCTTCCGTCTCCTCCTGGATAACTCTTGACACGGTATGGGAACGACACAGTGCTTGCATATGTGTGTTCTCTTCATCCATTAGCTTCGTACTTCCACGATACCGTCCAAGCTTCCGTCTCCTCCTGGATAACTCTTGACACGGTATGGGAACGACACGGTGCTTGCATATGTGTGTTCTCTTCATCCATTAGCTTCGTACTTCCACGATACCGTCCAAGCTTCCGTCTCCTTCTGGATAACTCTTGACACGGTATGGGAACGACACAGTGCTTGCA